TATGGTGCAAGGATCCGGCAACGCTGAGGAGACAGTCATCAGCCAAGAATGAAGCGTTACATGTTCTCTGACGTCTACAGCGCATGAAATCAGTGAAGTTATGGATAGTAATTATTCGAAATGGGGTACAGTTTACGACTCTTATGACCCCTGAAACATTGTAGCAGATTCTCCCATGAAGAAAATGGATACCTCAGCGATTCCTCAGTCGATATCTGTGTCACGATATCTGTTCAACGGACTCCAACCGACAGACATATAGCTCGAAGGGCTACGCTGTAAACTGCCAGAATTTGAAGCAGATGAAAGTGGCGCATGCTCTGTTTGTACAACGCTTTCGGTCAGCTCCTACATATCATTCGAGAACCTTGATACACGAGTTGCTTCAATGGGACGGTCACGTACACAGTCAATCAACGAGACTGTCTATGACTATTAGTCATCTAAAGAGCTAATTATAAGTGTGAGCCAAAGGAATGAAGCCGTGTCAACGGGTCAGTAAATTCCATGCCGTTTGTTACCAATTCGGGTCGACTTTCTACAAGGCCATGTCATAGCATGAGATATTGCAACATTCTTTTGTTCTATTGCGGGAAAGAAAATAATTCATATTGTGAGATGCGGATGCGACAGAATAGAAGTTAAATGACACGTCGACGGCAGGAATTTGAAATTTGAGGAACAGACGCGTTCAGATCACATGTAGCGCGAATTTGGCCGTGGGAAGAATGTGTGCCATGGTCACTGTATCCGTCGGAGCTTTTCGTTAACGCCCTTGTCTCCGTTCCACGCTCTACACGAGTTCCAAGCTCACTTCAACATCATGGAGGACTCGACCTATCGCGCAGCTTGATACGTAGCCGTTTGAAGTGAATACTACCAGGATATTTTACTCAAATTTTACCCTTGTTGCGGAGTCGACAAGTCGGACATAGCCACTATTCTCTGTTCGATGCCCCTGCCGCGTTACTACCACTCCGAAGTTCATATCAGCCTCACAAAGATTTCAACCCTCCAACTTTGAGCGAGGCGGATATTGTTTAGGAGGCACCGGACACGGTACGGATAGGTCATGGAGGCGTGATTATTATTCTTTCGGAATTGGAGTGCCACTGACTTTAGCTCTCCAGGTCGACACATTCGTCTTCCTCATCTCTGCCTAAAGAACGACACCTTTGCGCCGAGCGAATTGAGCCCGGAGAATCCCTTCAAGAGATGTACATTGATCAATTCACCGTGTTACGCCAGTTGCCAATGGAAGATTGGTGGTTGAACGTTACGTTGACCCTCCGCAGAATGCTCAAAGTTTTGCTGTCTTCCCAGGCCCGTCTCCGTTCTACAATTGGCTCGAGGCCCACTATTTGATTATCAACAAAACTCAGAGTTGTCGAGGCGGTTACTGCCAAGAATTTCTATTCGCACTAGGATCGTTGGGGGGTCTGCAAAGAATCGATGGGTGTGCGTGCATTCTTTTTCTTTTTCGCCGCAGGTGTCACAGACTTCTGCTCTCTAGGTCAACCCTACCTGCTCGTCCCCCAACCATACCATTACGCCAAGGGGATTGAACGCTAACGTGGAAGACCCCGTGTACTGGTTCACTGGGGAGACCGAGGTCGGAACACTTGGTTCATTTGCCTTGCCGATTTCATGTCAGTCACGACCACTGTGGATGTCCTCGGTAGGTGCGTCTGCTGTATAATTTTTTCGCAGATCTTCTAAGCGCAGACTCGTAGCCTGTCAACAAGAACAAATGTTTCCTTGTGTGGATGTGTCTATCCTCCGTCAAAACTCATTCCAGACCGGGCGATTTGTAACCGCCAGCGATGGTAGAGAACGCGAGAGACATGCACATACAGATGGCTCACCGGTTGTTTGAATATTGTCTTTGGCGGTGGAATGAGCTGGCAGCCTGAAGTAGTCGCAGATGGAAGATGGATTGGTAGTGGAGGTGCGCGCCCCTCTTCTTTCACTTGACGTTGCTCTGATGTCATGTCTATTCAAGTTGTACGAGACCTGCGAGGATCCAATGCTTCCTCTCCTGCACCCCGTTAACCTTGCAATTGCTCGCCATACCAGATGACGATGTGGGTACCTCTTGTACGCTTCCTCTTCTGCGCCTCTTTGACCTTGCAATCAGTGATCACCACTGTATTTGCTTTGCCGGAACCCGATTGCACTTCTACGACCTACGAGAAATCAAGTTCTCGAGGTGGGTGGTTCATCTTTTGTGGGCGTTGACGTTAAACGTTGATTAGCCGGGTTTTTTTTTCTTAGGCTCGAGTACTAGTTGTTCATATTTCTTCTCCGTCGCAGAGTCGTGGTGGGTTCCCTCAACATAAGGAATGATGGAACGATGCGGGTACTGTATGGCATGAAACAGATGTAGTCAAGTATGGAAGGCTGGGCGTCTTTTCTTTCCCTTGACGGCGTTCTAATAGTGTGTCTGCAGATCTACCAAACCAAGCTTCTCTTCTTTTGACCTCCGCTTACGCCATTGCCTATCCGCTGATGACAAAAACGGTTCCAGTAGGAGTGCCGAGCTCCAGCGTGTTAGTTGATCTGCGGGTCTGGTTCTTGATTTCTTCCATCTGCCCTTCTTTCGCTCCTACCACACTCCTGTGCGAGATCTTTATCAGTTCTTCATGCATTGTCCACCCTGCATTCAACGCAGCCTCGCACGTGCAGGTGGGCACGGTCTCGGTTCTCCTACTTATTACAAACGATTATGCATGCTTATATCACACCTCATCTCTCTACGTCCTATCAAACCGTATGCACCGCCTGTTATTTCTGTCAATTAACACCCTGCACTGCGCCATTATTGTGTCATGTTTAGTAGCACTGAGTGTATTACCACACTGACCCACAAGATTTGTTAAACAATACTTGGTTTTATCTCGCGGGGCGATGGTGCATCGGGAACCACGTAAAGAGCTTGTTCGATTCAAGCTCGTGCCATGTGAAAAATACCATGGTTTTTCCCGCTGCTCCTGCTGCCGTGCTGGAACCTATTGCTTGAATTCCAGCGTACCAACAACCCCTCTTAGCCTGGTTAGTTGAGTGTCCAAATGAGGAGGTCGGTCGTTCAAGTCGACGAGAGGGATCTTTCGAGAGTTCTTCGTTTTTTTAGTACCTAGTTTCCGAGAACTTCATCGTAGGCTCATAGCTGCGAGGTCTTCCTCACTTGTAAGTTGCTTTTCTGTTGGATCATAGAGTAATGACGGACGCTCAGTATGGTCCCCTTTGTTTGATCCCGGGTCCTTTGAAGCTTCTGTCACTCGCGTCACCTAACTAACAATTTACCTGGAGAGTGCATTGTCAATTAACACCCTGCTCTGCACCATTGTTTGGCAGCACTGAGTGTATTCCTATACTAGCCGACAAGTCGGCTTTATGTCATGGTGCGATGGTTCACCGGGAACCTCGCAAGAAGCTTGTTCGATTCCGGCTCGTGCCATGAGATACCCTTCTCATGGTCTTTTTTGATCTTCTGTTACCATGCTGGGACATACTTATTACTTGAATTTCAACATACTATTAGTCCCTTGTAGCTCTGTTGGAAGAGTATCTCACCAGTTCGATAGTCATTCAAGTCGGCTAGAGGGAATTTCTTGTTCGTCGTTTGATTTTTCCCTAAGTTTTTAAAAACCAAGACTCTCAACAATGTTGTCGCTACTGAGATCGTAGGCCCATAACTAGTTACATTTTAATTGTAAGAGTAGTCTCTTGTTAATCATTAGAGTTGAGTATAAGTAGACTGGGGGATTCGAGGATGCATCTTCTTTGTTCGATCCGAGGTCCTGCTCTAAATTTAACGCCTTTGTGACTCGCATCGCTGTTTCAGAGTCAACGTCCTATAAGTATTTGTGCCAACTCTATGTTTATGCCCTGCCATTCTTCAAGAGTGGAGCCGGTAAGATCGTCTATTGTTCAGATTCGCGTCCCTTACCTGGAGCCAGGAAAGATTATACCTGAATGGGGTTACATTTCAATGGTCGTTCGAATTCGAGTACTAAGGCCTGATTGGCAAGGGCCTTCATTTATTGTTGAGAATACTAATGCGGACAGAATTGGTAACGAAGGAGACAAAACATGCGGAGGGAAGCATTTGGGAGAAGTTGAAGAACTCGAGAGTCGAAAGAACTTCGACTTTACGCGTTTAGATCACATGGTCACAAAGCGGGCCGTGGGAAAAAAGTACTCTCATCCTCGTTCCATCACAACGGTATGAGCCTTCAAGCTCAAGACCGGACATCCAGTAATCACTGGGATCGGATTGAAGTTGACTAGGATCCAGGGAAGATGGATGCAATGCTGCGTGGTAACGGTACGTGCGCCTCTTTTCCTTGACGTCAACCTAATTGGCCAATGTCCTCTCGTGCCAATGTAGTGACTCGCCGTCAATGGCGTCATCGATATCGATCATCGACTCATAGGAATGAAGGGGGATTTTGATAACGGTTCGTCTATCCTTCTGCATCCACTTGCCCTTCTTTCGTTTCTGGGTCCACTTCCACTGTGCTCCTGTGCAAGGTCTATATCACTGCTTTGTGCATCGTCTGCTTTCCAGCCTTGCACGCGCCGGTTGGCGGTGTCAGTGTTATCGCCGCTCTCTTCGTCGCTCTCAGGGTGTTTTTTCCTCTTCATTTCGGACAAGGCATTTTTGGGGCACATTCTACCAAATTACGAACGATTACACAGACTGATAAAGTTATACCTATACATCCTTCCAAAAACATTCTTCTGATGAACCGTCATTCCGTCGGTTGTTGATATCAATTCACACTTGATTCATGCCCCCTGTTTCTGCACCATTATTTGAGTGTATTATTGGACGATAGGGTATTTGACATCTCTCTGCACTCTAGTTTTATCTCATGGCACGATGGCGCATTGGGACTGCCCAAAGAGCTTGTTCGATTCGAGCTCCTGCCATTGATACCCCGTAAATGCGACACTTTCGCTGCTCCTCCTTCCAGCCTGGGAATTACTGACCAGCGTCCCTCTTCGCTCAGTTAGTAGAGCGCCTCACTAGTACGTAACTCCTTCGTCGCCTTATGACGAGGTCAGTCGTTCCAGTCGGCTGGAGGGAATGGGCTTCCCCAAGCGACTTCTTTTTGGTTTGCGAGACTTTGCAACGTAGTTGGGGGCTGCCGTCTCTGGTTTAAATCCATAAATAAGCATGTGGCCTTTCTTGTAAATTGTAAAAGCCCTCTGTTTAACTGCCAAGTAAGGACGAAGCTAAGTATAGATCAGGATCACCAGGCGTTTTGTGGACGGCCCTCTTTGTTCGATCTATTGGAGGGCCGCTGTATTACGAGATGGAGGTGAATTTGTACGGGTTGGTACCTGGCAGTGCGTGCGTCACCTGTAAAATCTTTTCATTTATTTGCTGAGTGCTCGGAACATGCATCTCAGTCGGTAACCGTTACTCAGTCCCTTTAAAGAAGATCGCTGTTTCGCTGCTACTGTTTTCGCTTCTGACATAGGCAGATCACCACCTTAGTGAGTCGTCTACACGTATTTGTATTTTGTTTCAACCCAGGGACTTTCTTTCGCAGTCTTAGGTGAAACACCACATGGTCCAGTGTGTCAACGCGTACATCGCTGGTTCGAGTCGTAGTCCACGCAGGGATTAAGTTGTGGACATACCTCCTCGTTCGATCCGAGGGCCTGCTATAGTCAATTTCTAGCGTTGTCATACCTTTTTGGCCCGTATGTGCTCTCTCGGTGTTAATGACTGCCTTTCTTCAAGGTCGAGAAGAGCTTACCCACCCTCAAGGATAAAAGAAGCGAATAGATGGCTCGTTTCACACTTTCTTTTACGCAGGGAAGGACGAAGACCGCGACTCCATCCCTCTTGCTTTCAAACCGTGCTCTTCATTCTTCTTAGGTCCGTCAATCAAGGGGTCATCAAGGAGTCATAGACAAGTGGGAAAGCTCTCACTTGGTCTGTCACCTCGGTCGATTCGGGGTTCCTTAGTTTCCGATGTTTGTGGTTTTTTTAAGTCCTGAATACAATCCAGAGAAGGACACTGGACAGTAACGCCTGAAGATACTTCCCCCCTCCCCCCAATTACACCGCTTTTGAATACGCATTACCAGAAACTGAATTATAGGATTGAGCCGAGGCCTGACGATCCCAATTCTTCATAAAAGTAGGACTGAGCTGGGAGGAATGATAGGAAGGAAGAGGCACGTAGACAAGCATCCCGAGACGTCCAAGCTATCGGTCGCAAGCATCAGTTTGTCCGATCAGATTCACACACGTCCTAGTCGAGTATGAGCTGTGATGCCGGAGAGAACGACTTGGAAAGCTGTACAGGTATATGCGAGAAAGCATCCGTTGTCGAACCTTAAGGAAAATCTGAGACTGGAGTTAGCATCTCGGACGGCGGATGGAGAGCGTAGTGATGACGGTCAGCGCTGGTTAATTTCGTTGTGTTATAGGTTCTAGAAAATAAATACGTGACTGGTCTTGGTGTAGCAAACAATATCGAAGCTTGCTGAGTATTAAAACGTACAAGTCAAGCAGCAAGATCGAAGGACCGGCAACTAGTGACTTGATTCTGCCAACAACGCTCATCAGTACTTTGTCTCATCAGTAGCCATATGATGGACGAGTGGAGTCTGGGCTGATTGACTTTCCAGAGTGAGGAGCCCTTCTTTCTCCAGAGCGACGAGGTCACGGTTATTCACTTTGATAACCGGGTGCGTATCCAAGAAGGGATTTTGACTTTTTGATCGCGTCATGACCACGTGCGTGACCTCGTGTTTTCTTCATCTCCTGCACTCACTACAACTTTGAAGCATTGGTCGGAATCGATGCCTGCAGGACCCACGGCGACTACTTCAGAAAACACGCGAGTTACTACACGTCCGGTCATAGAATGCACGAAGCTTTACCATCTCCTCCGGTACCGGGGCCGTCTCCATTCTGCGTTTGGCTCGAGGCTCAGTATTCAATTATCAGCAACACACCGAGCCCCGGTCATTCGAGGCGGATACTCCCGAGATTCTCTACCCGGACTAGGATTGTCGAGGAGTCGGCAAGAAATCTATGGGGGTGCGTGTGTTGTTCTTTCGACGCGGGGTTCGCCAACTCCAACTCTCCAGATCAGCCCTACCCGTTTCTTCTTTGGCCAACCACACTTTAGCGCCCTGCGAATCTAATATTACCGTGCATATAACAATTCACGAGTCGTGGCTGGAGGCCAAGGCCGGAGCCATCCGAGGTTCTTTTACCCTGATGATCCAAATGTGGATGAACTTGGTCGGTGTGTCTACTGTATAGCCTGTTCACTTATTCTAAGCATAGACTCGCAGCATATCAACAAGAACACATCTCCCTGCACGGATGTGTCCATCCTTTGTCAAAGCGTTACAGACTACGCAATTAGAGGCCGTCAGTGATGTTAGAGGACGCGAGGAAAAGAGCGATTGGAGACGCACATGTACAGATGACTCACCAGTTCCTTGAATGTTCAACGTTACCCTCAACGTTGGGACGAGCTGGCAGTTTGGAGCGGATTGATGATTCTTAGTGAAGGTCTCAAGTGCGGGCATCTCTTCTTTGGCTTGACGTCTTTCAAATTTCGTGTCTGTCCAGGTTGTACACCTTCAAAGGCTGTCGCGATAGGCAAGCTAGATTTTACCGTGGGAAAATATATGCTTCTTCTCCTCTTCCCACTTCCATCGATACTCGTTGCAGGTTCTGAGCCTGGCACGCGTCTCCTGTGATGCTGAAATCAAGGGCAAGACTGTCGAATGCACAGGAAGGTGCGCATTTGTTCCTTCAATGTCAAGGTGGAACCAATTTTAGCTATCCAGATTGACTTCGCTGGTCACCTACGCGAGCAGCTGTTGACGACGTCGACCGTCCTGTCTGCCTTTTCATTTTTGGGCCTTTTTGGGACGCTATGGAAAGGTGGCGTGTCTACATATTTGCGGAGACATGGGTTCCCTTGACATTGCGCATGAAGGAGCTGAGGGGCACGAGAAAGAGGAGGGCGAGGTGCGAGCGTATTTCTTCTGATTGACGTCGTTCTGATTTTTGATCGGTCACTGATGCTGCATTGATGGTCTGTTAAGTGTTCGCCCGCGTCTTCACGTCTATGTGAGTAGTCTTGTTTCATCCGTCTTTCCTTCGCTAAACGTGCGCATGCTTCTAGGTCCGTATTTTTATACACCTCCACTGCCGCATCCGTGTCTACGGCTCAGTCAGCCTCTCCATCACCCGCGCCTCGCCTTCTGCCGCCCCTCCTCGTTGCTTACATGCCAGCGGTGCCGGCCTGCTGACCCGAGTTGTCGCTCTCTTTGTTTCTTTACTGGATGCATCGGCCTAACTCGTGGATGTACCTCCTCGCGTTTCTAAAAACAACTGTTATTCCGCACTTCATTGCTGATATAACATCCAGCTGCTCAGATGAATTGCTGCGTTATGTATATCATTCGACGGCACGATGGCGCATTGGGACTGAGCGCAGTGCTTGTTCGATCCTAGCTCGTGCCATTAACCTATCGCAGTGAATACTTTTTTTCTTGCTGTCCTGCTGCTATTGCCTTAAATCTCACCAATCCCTCTTAGCTCATTTGGTACAACGTTTCACCGGTATCGGGTTTAGAAGGTTTGACGGAATTGTATGTTTATGGTGCAAAGATAGGGTCATCGCTCTCCACGTCTCTAACTCCATGTGACTGGGACGCGTCAACTTGCTCATATCTATCTCTTTGCTCTCTTTCAAAAGAGCCGTCGTTCGGTGCTTTGCTCGTGTCAATAATGTAACATCCTAGCGCTGCATTACCTTTGCACTTCATGGCATGATGGCCATTCGGGACCGCGCACGGAGCGTGATCGATTCTCGCTCATACCATACTGCAGTGGATGATTATATTAGTAGACCTTTTTCGCTTTCTCCTGGTGCCGCTCTGGAACCTATCACTTTAATCTCAGCATATCATCATTCCCTCGTAGCTGACTTGGTAGAGCGCATCACCATTCAGTTCAAATAGCCGTTCAAGTCGGTTGTAGGGAATTAAGAGGTGTACACGTGATTTTTTTGACACGCAGAAACCTTCCTAAAGGCTGTTTCATCGCATCCTAGTTCCGCGATTCGGGATACGGTTGCTAAAAGTTTTTTTCACTCTCGACGTCCTTCTGCTTTTCCGCGTCGTGCTCAGACCTCTTTCTGTCGAATGGTTTCGCCTCGTCCTGTCCTCGTTCGGACTAGCAGTACTTGAAGAGAGGAACGGCATTTCATCAATCCAAGTGCCTGGACATACTTCACGAGGTAGTTCACAAGAGTTGTATTCGATTTGCTAACGACATGGCATCTATCCCTCGTCCTCAGTCTGTGCAGCATGTCAGTCCTCCGTTCAATTCAACATGCAAGGTTTCATGTACCTGCCCTCTTTGCTTGATCCAGAATTCCTCTATGCCATTTTCCCAACGACCAGGAACACAAAACTCATGATTGTAATCATCGACGTGGTGCCATTTTTTGAGATATATTCCGAATCATGAGCAGAGAGGCCATGGACGAATGGAATACTCGTCTGGTTAGTCACCTCGTTCGAGTCGGGGTCTTGTCTATCATGATCAGGGCATATGTCATTTTATTATTATTTTGGGACAGAACGAGAACGGTGCAGTCCTGGGAAAGGACATCCTCCCCACTTAACTCGTACTCATTTGAGCATGAATGTGCGTGCGTTGTCCTATCCACATTCGACGTGCCTCCGTTTTGTGAGACGAAGATGAATGTTCAATGCGTATAGGTGCGTATTTTGTAATATTATATGCTCGCGTCGACACCGTCTGCGGTGTTTAATCAACCGTTACTTGGTTCCTGTGAAGAAGATCGCTGCTTGGTGTGGGCATACAGTACACCGGAATATCATGACTGTTACCATTTTCGCCGTTGAGAAATTGTTCACCGCTTCTGAGATGAGGTAAGTTCACGCGCTGGATCGAACAGCATATTTGCACTTTGTTACTTTTGGAGGCTTATTTTCGCAGGTGGTTTGATCACTGTTTGGAAGCGGAACTTGGCCCAGCGTGTAACAGGGTACATTGCTGGTTCGAGTCGCTGTC